AGGTTGTTCCCTTAAAAATAAAAACAAGATCATGTCATAGCTTATTGACCTTTTCTGACTTCTGTGGCCTTTAGAATAAAATCCAAATTCCACAAACAGTCATCCAAGGATGTCCCATCAAGGCCCTGTCCTGCCTCTACCCCACCCCAGGCTCTTCCTCTTCATTCCCCAGGGACTCACCATTCTCCAGACAGATCAAGCCCTTTCCTGACTATCTTTGCACCTATTGGAATATGTGTGTACTGCACCTGGTCCTTTAATTATACCATCGCCTTCAATATGAATGTAGCCCAGTAATTGTTTAAAAGTTTAATTTGTTTTTCTCCCTGTGGTTCCCCCGTTTCCTCTCCCCATTCTAAAAGCATCTGTTCTTAGTCTCAGGGCAGACTGGGCAGGGTGATCACGGAGTTGACTGCAGACTCTTCCCTTCCTGGCTTGTATTTCCCAAGCCCTAAGCTCACTGAGGTGAACAGAGCTTGAGGCAAGGGTCTCTGATGGAAACAGACCTAGAGGGAGGGATATCCCCCACACCAGGAAGAGATGCTGGGCCTGAGAAGAGAAAGGAGATATTTCTGGTGCCCATGAGTGACAGGGAACTGTGCCATGCTTTCTGGATATATCAGGCACTGGGTGGAAATTCCCATGGTACATCAGGGAGATGGAGTGTGATATAGCTTGGAAATTTGTCTCCTCCAAATCTCACGTTAAAATATTACTTCCCCACCAGTGCTGGAGGTGGGACTTAGTGGGAGATATTGGGTCGCAGGGCAGATCATTCATGAATGGCTTCGTGCCATCCCCTTGGCGATGAGCGAGTTCTCACTCTATTAGTGCACATGAAATTTGGTTGTTTAAAGGAAGCTAGCCCTTCCTTCTCACTCTCTTGCTCCCTCTCTTACCATGTAACATGCTTGCTCCCCATTTGTCTTCAACCATGGGCAAAAGCATCCTGAGCCCTCACCAGAAGCAGATGTTGGTGCCATGCTTCTCATACAACCTGCAGAACTGAAAGCCAAATAAACCTTTTTTTATTTATAAATTACCCAGTCACGGGTATTCTCTTTTTTTTTTTTTTTTTTTTTTTTTTTTTTGAGGCAGAGTCTCTCTCTGTTGCCCAGGCTGGAGTGCAGTGGCATCATCATGGCTCACTGCAGCCTCAACCTCTTGGTCTCAAAGGATCCTCCTGCCGCAACCTCCTAAATTCCCAGGTAGCTGGCACTACAGGCATGTGCCACCATGCCCAGCTAACTTTTAAATTTTTTTGTAGAGATGAGGTCTCCCTGTGTTGCCCAGGCTGGTCTCAAACTCCTAGGCTCAAGGGGTCCTCCCACCTAAACCTCCCAAAGTGCTGGGATTGCAGGCATGAGCCACTGTGCCCTGTCCAGGTATTTCTTCATAGCAATGCAAAACAGACAAATATAGGGTCCTACAGCCAGGGTTCCTATGTCACAGAAATAGTAGCACCAGGGACTGAAGGGCCCTGCAGACTAACTGAGGCAACAGAATTTCAGCATAGCCTTGCATGCAGGGGGAATCCCCAGGAAGGACTAACATGACTTTCCCACGGCCCTAACAGGATGAGGGCTGACTGTGAAAATGAAGTTGAATGATAAGATAATGAAATGGGGTATTTATTGACCTGCTGAGCTTGTGCACTGAGATTCTGACCTGCTTGAGAAGTAGGCCTCTACCGGTCTTCCCCGGCTACCCCCATGTTCTGCCTAAATGCCCTCTGCTCTCTGGCTCATGTCTTTCAGGCCCAGACTTCTGGCTCCCTAGACCTGCTGTCAGGGTTATTTGCCAACCTTCATCATTTCCTACCTGGTTCTTTGGACTTTGAGTTTCCTGAAGTTGGCTCGGCAAGCAGCTTGGGTTTTGGAATCCTCTATTGCCTAGTTAGACGTGTGGCTACAGCCCTTGTTCCAACCCGCCTCTAGATGAGCCAACCTCTGGCCCCCAAGGGTAGAAGAAAGAAGGGACACAAGCACAGAAAGATTTTTTCTCTTTGCTTCCTGACATAACTGTATTCATCCTTCAAGTCCTTCTTCATATATTATCTCCTGGGATCGTTCCCTGACCTCCTTAGGTAGGGTTCCTTTTCTGGGTTTCCATAGCATTTTTATACATCCGTGCCCTCACAGTGTATTCTTTATACGTTTACGTGGCGGTCTTTCCACCTTGACTATGAGCACCTTGGGGGCAGGACCCCTGCTTCATTCACTTAGCACAATGTCAGCTACAGAATAAGTTCTCAAAAATGCTTATTAAATGCCACTTTTCATGCAGTCTCCACACTGTCATGTACTGTTCTTTTTCTAGCCTTTTTCTCTGTATCAGTAAGACATGCTTTTGGCTGCAAGTAACTGAGAGCCTGACTGCAATGATTTAATAGAGATTCTTTTTTTCTCACATGAAAAGGAGTTTGGGCCAGGCGTAGTGGCTAACACCTGTAATCCCAGTACATTCAGAGGCCAAGGCAGGTGATCACTTGAGATCAGGAGTTTGAGACCAGCCTGGCCAACTTGGCAAAACCTGTCTCTACTAAAAATATAAAAATTAGATGGGTGTGGTGGTGGGTGCCTGTAATCCCAGCTACTTAGAAGGCTGAGGCAGGAGAATCACTTCAACCTGGGAAGCAGAGGTTGCAATGAGCCAAGATCATGCCACTCTACTCCAGCCTGGGCAACACAGCGAGACTCCATCTCCAAAAAAGGAGTTTGGAGGCCAGGTGCTGTGGCCAATGCTGTAATATCAGCACTTTGGGAGGCCAAGGTGGGAGGATCACTTGAGTCTAGGAGTTGGAGGCTGCAGTGAGCTATGATTGCACCACTGCACTTAAGCCTGGTCAACAAATTGAGATACTGTCTCAAAAAAAAAAAAAAAAAAAGTCTGCCCACAGTGGCTCATGCCTGTGATCCCAGCACTTTGGGAGGTCAAGGCAGATGAATCACTTGAGGCCAGTTCAAGACCAGCCTGGCCAACATGGCAAAACCCCATCTCTACTAAAAATTCCAAAGTTTGGCCGGGCGCGGTGGCTCAAGCCTGTAATCCCAGCACTTTGGGAGGCCGAGGCGGGTGGATCACGAGGTCAAGAGATCGAGACCATCCTGGTCAACATGGTGAACCCTGTCTCTACTAAAAAAAAAAAATACAAAAAAAAATTAGCTGGGCATGGTGGCGTGTGCCTGTAATCCCAGCTACTCAGGAGGCTGAGGCAAGAGAATTGCCTGAACCCAGGAGGCGGAGGTTGCGGTGAGCCGAGATCGCGCCATTGCACTCCAGCCTGGGTAACAAGAGCGAAACTCCGTCTCAAAAAAAAAAAAAAAAAAAATACCAAAGTTTGTCAGGCATGGTGGCACATGCCAGTAATCCCAACTACTTGGGAGGCTGAGGTATGAGAATTGCTTGAACCCAGGAAGCAGAGATTGCAGTGAGCCAAGATCTTGCCACTGCACTCCAGCCTAGGCTACAGAACAAGGCTCTGTCTCAAAAAAAAAAATTACTCTGAAGGTAAGGAACCTAGGACCATCAGAGACCCCAGTCTCTTCCTGCCTTTCTATCCTGTCCATTTTAATGTGCTGGATATAAGGTGGCTGCTGTGCCTCTAAGCATTGTATACCTGTTCTGGGCAGGAATAAATAGAAAGGGTGAAGAACCAACTCTGTCCCTTTTCATCAGGAAAGCACAGTTGTCTTAGAAAACTTCTGCTGACATCTCATTGGCCATAACTATGTCACATGGCCACCCCTAGCTGCAAGGGAAGCTGAGAAGGTGAAGGCAAGGGAGAAAGTGGAGAAGTGCGGGTGTGAATAAGAAAATTCTTGGACCTTACCCCAGACCTACTGAATCAGAAGTGCTGGGGACAGGACCTGGCAACCTGTGATATAACAAGCCCTCCAGGGGATTTTAATGCAGCTGACATTGGAGAATCATAGCCAAATATGAAGGCCAGCATTATGATAGGAAAAAATCCTGGACTAGAATTCAAATCATCAATTTCTTGGTACAAGTTTTGTTACTAGCTAGCCAGGTGACCTTAGTTTCTCGTCTATAAAATGGGAGTAATAATGGTGGCTGTGACTTCATTCTCTGAATTGTTGTAAGGACCAGTTTAAATGATGTAGATGAAAACATGTCAAAAACTGTAAGTCATTAGATACTTGTATTGATTTTAAAATGGTAAAAGTTCTTATTGAATGAATGAAAGGTTGGGTGGTACTAAGGAAGGAGGAGAAGTTTTATATGAGGTAGGCTTAGAGTTCAAAAACAAAAATGAAATGTGAGAGTGTAGTGGTGAATTTTGTGTGTCCGTGGAGAACACTGATGAATAAGAGAAAAATTTTTCTAACTGGGACTGAGTAGTTTATTTTGTTTCTCTGTATTGTTAGTCAAAATTCCAAAAGAGTGATAGTCTCTTGACACTGTTTTTGTGTTCAGAGATGATTGCATATAATTAATATAAGGCCAAAAATGTCTATGTGCTGGCCTTTTAGAGTTTTGGTCACTCACAAGATATTTTCTTGGGTAATAATGATAGAATCTTGCAATAGTCATGTCACAGTTTATGTAGCTGACGTGTTGGACAGAGTGCAAACGCCTGGGAAAAGCAAAGCTACCGGTAAAAGGTATGAAGGGTTTGTTCGAAAAGCTACAACAGTCAGGGACAAAAATAGAAATGGAAACCACAGGCGTTCAGAATACATTGTTATCAAAAACAAATGTTTGCAGCAGCTCCAGTGGTTGCTGCTACAGGTGGTTTCCATGAGCGGAAGGAGGACATAGACATACATGGTTTCGAAACAAACACTTTGGAGGATAATGAATTGGAGCATTTAGCAGAAAGGCTGGTAAGAAGATGTGAAACAAATGAAAGGGATTTAGTGTTCTGCCATCTGGAATAAAAATACTGAGATGCCATTGTCTGTGCACCAACCAAGGCGTCCATCCTGTACTGTATTAAAACTGCTCACTCAATTCCTTGTTCATTCGTTCTACAACAGCTACCCATATAACAGACATGGAGCAGTTTCCACCGGATGAACTTAGACAAGTCATCAGCTGCTAACGAGGCACCAGAGAAGTCCCAGTCATATCTACATTTGCCTTCAGATAACCTTTACAGGTTTGGAAATTGCCATGATGAAAATAGCAAAGTAGTACTGAGCTTGGGAGTTTTACCTGTCTATTCAGGTGAAAACCACAGTATCAAGAAGGAAATGTTGGCAGCTGTATGAAAACACTAAAAACCAATGATTTGCATATCTTCAATGGATGAATTATACAGCATGTGAATTTTATCTCTATAATGCTGCTACCAAAAAAAAGAAGGAAGTATTTTCAGGCAAAGATCTGGTGACACAGAGGCTGTGCAGTAGCTAAGAGACTTTGTTTGTATATGTGTCGGTTAAGTTTGTCTGCACAAAATGTGAAGCCAAGGTTTACTCATTGATTGATCTGTTTAACATCTGGACACTGACATGCAAGTGCTGTGATAAGAGAGTTTGTAGAAGCAAAATCACTAGTGCTGGGAACGGAGAATATAATCTGCATATGAAAAACTGATGAGATGTAAACATCTGAAACTGGTGGGGACCCAAAGCCAAGGTCAGTTCATACAAATAGGTCAGGCTAGGCATGGTGGCTCATGCCTATAATCTCAGCACTTTGGGAGGTCAAGGCAAGAGGATCACTTGAGCCCAGGAATTCGAGACCGGCCTGAGCAACATAGTGAGATCTCATCTCTACAAAAAATAAAAATAATAAAATTAATAGCCTGGTGTGGTGGTAGGTAACCATAGTCCCAACTACTCAGGAGGCTGAGGTGGGAGGATCACTTGAACTCAAGAGGTTGAGGCTGCAGTGAGCCATGAATGTGCCACTGCACTCCAGCCTAGGAGACAGAGCAAGACTCTGTCTCTAAAAAAACAAAGAAAAAACAACAACAACAACAACAACAACAACAAAAATAGGCCAATGCTGAGTCAGGGATTCAAAATATTCAACTTTGGAACTGGACTTCCTGAGGGTGTTTTAGTTGTGAATCAGGCAAATGGAGTCTTATCTGTTTGTCCTCTTCCCCTTCCAAGAACCCACTGTCCTCTTTCCTCCTCTTCAAGCCTTGAGTACCTAGTATGTAGGTAGCCAGGACAGCTGTAATTTGATATGTGAATGCATTTCCTCCTTTACATCCTGGGAAATTGTTATGGTTATTGCTGCTCTCGAAGACAGGAATTGATATGCAGCTTGATTGCAATGGAGAGTCTCAGAGTGAGGATTCCTGAGGTCAAGTGCCAGCCCCATCACTCACAGGTTATGTGACCTGAGTAAGTCATTGGATACCTCTTGATCTCATCCCTTCTCAGGTACTCAGCCTTTGCTACCACGATCACCCCTCTCTCCTGCAGCCAGTTTCAGCTTCTCTGCCATACCATTCTCACCAGCAATACCAGTAGTTGTTATTCCTCCCATAGAAAAACTCCAAGAAAAGACAAAACCTCCCTGTCTTCCCATTCCCCTCTAGTTCCACTTCAATCCTTTGCTTTCCTTTATAACAAAATTTCTAAGAAAAGAATTGCTTAGTGTTATGGGCTGAACTGTGTGTCTCGCAAATTCATATGTTGAAGCCCTAATCCCTAGCACTTCCAAATGTGACTGTATATGACCAGGTGCGGTGGTTCACACCTGTAATCCCAGCACTTTGGGAGGCCGAGGCTGTCAGATCATCTGAGGTCAGGAGTTCAAGACTAGCCTGACCAACATGGTGAAACCTGTCTCTACTGAAAATACAAAAATTAGCTGGATGTGGTGGTATGCACCTGTAATCCCAGCTACTTGGGAGACTGAGGTAGGAGAAGGGCTTGAACCCAGGAGGTGGAGGCTGCAGTGAGCCGAGATTGTGCCACTGCACTCTGGCCTGGGGAAAAGAGAAAAACCCCATCTAAAAAAAAAAAAAAAAAAAAAAGAATGTGACTATATATGGAGATAGGGCTTTGAAAGAGGTAATCAAGAGGTCATTAGGGTGATCCCTAATCAGTATGACTGGTGTACTTACGAGAAGAAGAGATTAGCATGCAGACAACACAGGCAGAGCATGTGGGCACACAGGGAGAAGACAACCATCCACAAGCCAAGGAGAGTGGCCTCAGCAGAAACCGGCCTGCCGACACCTTGATCTTGGACTTCCAGCCTCCAGAACTATCAAGAAAATACCTTTCTGTTCTTTAAGCCGTCCAATCTGCAGTACTTAGTTATGGCAGTGCCAGAAATAAATACATTTAGACTTCCTATGTCTGCTTCCTCACCTCCAGTCTCCCTTTCTTGTGATTTTCCTTCCTCTTTTTAACCTACTCCAGTCAGGACTCCATGGCCAACAATCACTCCTCGGGAACTGCCCATGTCAAAGTCACCACTGACCACTATTGACCACGATCTGTGGTTCTGGACCCCTGCTGACTCCAGTAGGGCTGGCACCATGTCAGAGAGGCCGAGGAAGAGACCTGGAGACAGCAAATGAGACAGAGGGTTTGTTGGGTGGATTTACATCCAAGGACAGTCCAGTGGCAGTGGGCTGGACAGGGGCACCATCCCCATTTGTAAAAAACATGCAGTTTGTATAGCATTTTCACTTAGCAACTTCCACCTGGCAACCTTCATTTAACCCCAAACAAAGGGCCTCCTTCCCCTGTACAACCCTCATTCCAAAAGGTAGGCCAGAGGTTTAGATGTCCTTCATGAATAATAAGTGAATTTCTGGTTGGCCACTCCCACATTCCTCAGCCCGTAACTCTGAACACACATCCTCTTGGACCAGAGGTTATTTTCAGGGTATGTGTAAGTGAAGTTACTGCTATCAGTACATCTGCTGTAGACCATCTTGCTGGATCCAGAGGCCACCTCGCTGTCCTCATCATATCCGGCTTCTCTGCAGTTTCTGAAGACCTTTTCAGTACTGGGATCCCAGACGACCACACTCTTTTATTTTTCAGTCACCCCATTGACTGCCCCTCCTCACTCTTCTTGGCTGGGTATCCCTTATCTTCTTTCTTCTAAATGTCAGAGCCCTGGGCCCAGCTTTCAGCCTCTCCTCTGTCCATAATCTCTCCCTAGCTCCTTCCATCCAGTTCTGTGGATATAAATATTAAAGCTGATAAGTTGCACATTTATATCACCACTCCCATCTCCTCTTTGAGCTCCAGACCCAAATATTCAATTGCCCTGGACATTTCTACCTGGATATAAAAAGCATTTCAAGCTCAATGTGTCCCCTCATCCTTCCTTTGTTTCTCCCTATTTTTTATTTTTTTATTTTTAGTTTTAGTTTTTGAGATGGAGTCTTGCTCTGTCACCCAGGCTAGAGTGCAGTGGCAAGATCTCAGCTCACTGCAACCCCTGCCTCCCAGGTTCAAGTGATTCTCCTGCCTCAGCCTCCCAAGTAGCTGGGATTACAGGTGCCCACCACCACATCGGGGTAATTTTTGTATTTTTTAGTAAAGTTGGGGTTTCATCATGTTGGCCAGGCTGGTCTTGAACTCCTGACCTCAAATGATCTGCCCACCTTGGCCTCCCAAAGTGCTGGGATTACAGGCATAAGCCATCATGCCTGGCCCCCATTCCCTTTAATAGCATCATCGTTCACCCTGAGAAATCAGAACCCCACGCACCATCCTTGATTCTCTTTCTCTCACACTTCACATCAGTCCACTAAGCAGCCTTATTGTCTTCATCTCAGTCATTCATTTATCTCCCCCTCCACTTTTGCCATCCTACTCCTAACCCCACCCTCCCTCCTCTGAATCACTGCATCTTATTTCCCTGCCTTTCATCTTACCCACTACAAGCTGTTTTCTATACAGTAGCCAGGGGATTCTTTTGAAATTATTGTACCCTCTCATTTCCCATCACATTTTGAATGAAATCTAGACTTTGCATTCTGGTTTGCATGTTCCCTCCTGGCCCAGACCCTGCCCAACTCTCTGTTCTGGTCTCCTCCAGTCCCTTTCCCTCACTGCACTCCAGCCACACTGCTGGTCCTCTAAGCACCACTGTGGCATGCTGGGACCTTCACACTCACTGTTCCTTCTGCCTCTACTACTGATACTGATCCGAGCTTCACAGAGCTTGCTTGCCCCTTTCATCATGCAGGGCTTGGCTCAGACCTCACCTTCTGGAGAGGCCTTCCTTGACCCCCCAGCTCATATAGCACTTGCCCGAATGTTGGAGAACCCAGCATGCTCGAGTTACTCTTATGACCTTTTAATAAGCTCTTACTATAGTGCCAAGCATTATATTAAATACTTACATGCATTATCTCATTAACCTCGGACCCACTGAAGGAGGCATCCTAATGATCCCCATTTTATGCATCAGGAAACGGAGGCCGGGAGAGGTCAAGCCCAGAGTCATGCAGCTTGCACTAAGGTCTGATTCTAGAATTAGGGCTCTTAACCATTAAATTCAACTAATTCAGCTGCTTCTCACTCTAAATTCTATTCTGAGTTATGGATTATATGGCTTCCAGGAGTTTAATTTACAGGATTGATTGGTTTCTATTGCACTTGTGTTGAGCAGGTAAAGTAACTCAGGTGTATCAGTGTGTGCTAGGGCGGGACTTCTTTTCCAAACTATGGTTTTAAACATTCACATAATACAAAATGCAGGTTAGGTGGGCACAAACTCAAGCATGGGTCAAGAACACTTCTGTGGTTCCTGCTTATAGACTTATCAAAGCAGATGAAGATATTTTCCTGTTAATTTTATGGTTTGAGAGGGCTCAAGTTCTCAGAAGCAATTCAAGCTTTTAAGCATTTTTCCTCTTATTTTCTTTTAAAATCCTATTTCCTTTTAATCCATTTGGGGTTCAAAAAAGGGAAATAGATAAATAACATCCTATTTCCACGTGGTGATTAGAGAGAAAGTCTTTCAAATGAGAAGCACTATCATGTGAACGTGTTCCCCAAAGTTCATGAGTTAGAAACTAAATCCCCAAGGCAACAGCGTTGAGAGGTGGACCTTTAAGAGGTGATTAGGTCATGAGTGCTCTGCCTCATAAATGGATTAATGCTGTTAAACCAGGAGTGGGTTAGTTATCACAGCAGTGGATTCCTGATAAAAGGATGAGTTTGACCCTCTTCCTCTCATCTGCATGTGTGTGTGCTTTCTTGCCCTTCTGTGGGTCTGTTGACCTTGGATTTGCCAAACTCCACAAGTGTAAGAAATAAATCTCTGTTCTTTATAAATTACCCAGTCTCAGGTATTCTGTTACAGCAACACAAAATGAACTAAGACAAGAAGGGTCTACGTGCTGGTAAGAAAACATGCTTATTGA